TTTCGTACTCTTGTATTTAAAAGGGAAATGAGGCCACACAGAAGGAAAATAGTGGACATGGCATTGATTTGCAAAAGAACCAAAGTGGAATTCATTAGATTCCTAATTCATAAACTTAAAGAGATTATTTGTGAATAGCCTGAGGTTTTACCTGCTTTAGCAGTAACAATATTTTGAGTTATAAAATGGGCAGTTCTTGGACCCATTTATACAAAATTTATGCTTACTGTAACTTAACAAAAGTTGGATTTATTTACTATAATTAGTGATTTTACAAACCTAAATAAGAGGTTTAAATGATTGTCTTTCTCCATTCTATCAACAATGTATTTTGTTTTAAATTGTTAGGATTCTAACATAAATGAGGAGTATCTTGTTTGGAGCAAACTTTTGACCAGATTTTAAGTTAGTTAGAGATATTGAAGTACACTATAAGGAATTTAAAATGCAAATGTGAGTTTCAAATCCACAAAAGGGTCAAAATGTTCTGTAAAGGAGTATTTTCCTGTTAGGCTTTTTGTTTTGTTTTTGTTTTGGTACGGGCGATCAAACTGATGACCTCACACATGCCTGGCTGGCATTTTTGCCACTGAGCTAAATCCCCAGTCCTGTAAATGAATTCTTAATCTAGACTGAAAAGTCAGCTTTTGCTATTTGTCAAATACTGTTCAAAATGAGAATAATATGTGACACTTATTTAGAACTTTTAAGTTTTGAAAAATTTCCATCATCCATTTTCTTATGTAGTTTTTATGAATCTCCAACAGAGAACTGTTTTCACTGTTTTATAAGACTTCTCTTTGTTGAGAATGTTTACTATGTTTCACATGAAATGGAATTAAGAACCCTTTCCTTTCTCTTGCTTTACCTGGGTGCCTCTTCATTCCATTAGCTCTTTTTTTCTGGAGTGACCAGACCTCCTGATTGGTTATAGGTCTAATACAGTATGCTACAATGATGCTCCAACCTACTTTGCCTGGATAACAATATATCTACTCTGTATAGTATTATTCATATTGATTTCTTTGGTATAGGTTTGTCAAACTATGGACATGCTGCACCATGGTCAACTAAAAATATCCTTACTTTTACAAATAATATGCTTTCAAATGAGGCCTTCTGCCTTGAAGACAGTGATAATTTGAACTCAAGTATAGAGTTTTCTATAAGTATTCATTTTTTTCTATACATTTAATCTACTATCCTAGTATTATTATTTTTAAGTCTTTTTCTTTTTTATCAGTACCAGGGATTGAACTCAGGACCACACACTTCAAAGGCAGGCGTTTATGCCGCTGAGCTAAATCCCCAGCCCCAATCCTAGTATTATTTTTTAATCTGTGTTTTTTGCTTATAAAATAAAATAAAATATTCATTTTAATTAGGGTTATACTCATTTTTACTTGAAAGAGATCCTAATCAAATAATTTATTTTTAATACATAACAAGTTCAAAGGCTTGTTTCCAGAACCAGAAAAGCAGACTCAGGACACCACAAAGGGTTCAATTTCCTACATCACCAACCTTAGCACATGGATTTCTTCGTCATGATTGTAAGATGGCATCTTGTATTCATTTTCTACTGCTGTGTAACAAATCACCGTAAGCTTGGCAGCCAGAAACACCTTTATTATTTCACCTTCCGTGGGTTAGTCATTCTGGCATAGACTGAATCTGGTACTCAAGGATTCATCATGCTCAAATCAAAATACTGACCATGGCTGTGTTCTCTTCTGAAGCTTGAGGTACTTCTTCCGTGCTCATTAAGTTATTTGCAGAACTAAGATCCCTGTGGTATAGGACTGAGGTTCCTGATTTCTTGCTGTCTATTGCCTGGGTGTTCTTATCAGTTCTAGTGGCTGATCTAGGAGCATTTGGCCTTTCCACAATGGTAACTCACTGTTCAAGGTCAGAAGGAGATTCTCTCCAGCCTGCTGCAATCTAGTCATGTGTAAGCAGCCTAATCAAGGGGGTGACTGTCCCATCATACCAATAGGTACTATCTGCACTCAGTTTTGTACTCCAGAGTTATTGATAAGATCAAGTATTTTGAAACAATTAAAGGTTAAAGGAATAGAACAACTCTGCATAGCCTTTTTTTTAATATTCAGAAAACAAGTACTAATTTTACCTGCCAACAGTGAAGAGAAGTGTCTGTCTCTCTGTGAAAATACTCTAAATTCCTGATTTCATCATGTTTGATTCTTGCCTTCATAGCTAACAAATATTTGATAAGTATGCCTTTCAAGACAGTCTTCTGATAAAAATGAAGTCAGTTTTGGACTTTTAAAGTATAATTAAATATTGAGTCCTCAGTTTGAGTCAATACAAATCTACTCAGTTCTCTTTGTGTTCAACTCATAGTCACTTGTCTAGAGAAACGTGATGAGAAGAATTATTCTTAAAAATGCACAAAGCAGTCTCTTGATTCGTCAATCTAAAATCTTTAGCAGGGAAGTAAATGGAGTTCTTGTGTGTAGGTCTGTATTCTCTGAGTGTTCTTTTCAAAAAATAATTTTTATTAGTACATGTTTGCTATATATATGAACACATTCTTCATGGTGAATTTGTACGTGTTCATAATATGTCTTAATTATTTTTCCCATTCCCCTTCCTTCCCTTCAAACCCTCTTCCCCTCTCCATTTAAAAAAGCTTTATATCTTACTTTTTCCATTGTTGAGACAAAATACTCAACACTGAAAAGTTAAATAAGAAAGGTTTATTTCAGCTCATAGTTTATAGAAGTTTCAGTCCATAGTTGGCTGGCTACAAAGCAGGGTGGCATGGAAGAGGGGAAACAGTTCTTGGTAGGCAGAAGTCAACAAAGCAGCAAAACAGCAGCATAGATCCAGACACAAATCTCTCCCTTTAATCCCTTCCAGGCTACTGCCTTTTGGACACTGACACCCAGGGTGGCCTTTCCTATCATCCACACCAGAGCTATGCTAGACCAATCAGTGATCACTAAATTGATAATTTAGTAACCACACACCCTTGAATCCCAGCATCACATACTTAATCCTAGCATTACACAGTGTAGAGCCATTCACCTATGAAAAGTCTTACTCATGACCCATGAGGCTTTGGGATGACAGACACAAGCTATCACACTGTCTTTTCATTTTCCCTTCCATTCTCTATTTTTAATAATACTTTCCCTTCCTTCCTTTCTCCTACCCTTATGCCCCTCCCTATTTTGCACTAATTCTTCCTACTTCCCAATATCTGTCCTCCATTTTGCTCCTTATTTATTACTTGTAAATTTCTGACACAGGCAAAAAAATTTGTACTTAAACTTACTTTAGAGACGTTTACATCATCTACTCCAATGCAGAATCATGTATTTATATTTTAGATAGAAACAGTGCCGAATTTCAGTAAGAAAATAGAAGAATATCTTTCACAAAGTTAAACCCCATCAAACAGGTATAAATCAGGTAACCTTAATGTATAGAGGATGAGAGGATAACTGAGGCTATTATTAGACATGTAAAAAGCAGTGAAGAAAGTAGAAAGTAGAAAATTATGATCTTAGAATACATTAATTTACCTAAAAATATGTCGTTTATACTTCTTATAGGTAGAACAGTACTCCATAATATATAAATACCACATTTTCTTTATCCATTCATCTGGTGATGGGAATATGGTCTATTTCCAAGATTATCTATTATAAACTATTGCTACTCTAAACGTGGGAAAGCATATCACAGTGGTATGATGCTTTTAACTCTTTTAGAAAGCTACCTAGAATGAGAAGAGCTGGGTAAAATGGAACTTGTAGTTTTAGGGTTAGGGTTAGGGTTTTGAGAAATCTCCATACTGAGTTCCATAATGGCTGTACCAATTTGCACTCCCATCAACAGTGCAGAAAGGTTCCTTTTGCCCCATAGCCTCACCAGCATTTCTTATTGGCTAACTGCTTGATGATAGCTATGCTTTCTGTAGAGAGACGGAATCTTTTCAAATATAAATATGTTTTATCTGGCAAAGGTTTTGTTCTTTGGAATCTATTTGAGTTAGTAAATTTTGTCAAACAACCAAGGATCAAAATTGAGATTAATTCTCAAATTCTGAGAAATTCTTAACTCCCTTATTTTTTCCCTCAAAAATGTATTGAGGAACTTCTTTATACCTTAGTTACGTTTCTTGTTGCTGAAACAACATATCTAACACTCAATGTTGAAGGAGAAAAGATTTATTCAACTCACAGTTTGTAGAGGTTTCAGTCAGTAATTGGCTGACTTCCAGTCATGATGGCGTGGCAGCAGACGTCACAGAGGAGAAATAGTTAATGAAAGGCAGAAGGTGGCAAAACATTAAGGGAGAAGACAACCCTTTTTTGTCCCTTACATTTATACAAGCTTCCAGGATTAAGGCAGTGCCAAACCATCAGTGGACTGATTTAGTAATCTTACACCTTTAATCCTAACATCACATATTCTAGATTCAACAGTCTCTGAAAACCTCACCTATGACCACATGAGGCTTGAAGGGATCATCTAGATCCAAATCATAGCAATACTTTTCTGATCAAGGTAGTTTTTAAAAGTCATTTATATTTCAACTCCACTTTCTTCACTGCTTTTTACATGTCTAATAATATCCTCAGTTATCCTCTCATCCTCTATGATTCTGCCTTGGAGTAGATGATGTAAATGTCTGTAAAGTAATGCAGCAAAATCTGGAAAAATCATTTTCCAGATTCAAAATGATTCAACTATGACAAGTTTGTACTGCTACTACCAGTTGCTCCAGTCTCTCTACCCCACCCATGTACAAATGGAAGGTGCATATTGTGTCTATCAAGTCCATATAATGGGTTAATAGTGCCCACATGATCTAAGTGGGGCCACTCTTGGTGCAGCCATGTCCTGGACCTGAAGTTGTTCTAGTCCTCAGTGTAAATATGTGACTGAAGCTAAATTCCTTTAATTTCTTTTCACAGTCTTTAGGATTGAGGTTGAGGGTAGGAAACTTTTTGTTGTTGGGAAAACTGTGGCGGTTAGAGGATGTAAGGATCTTTAAATGCAAAAAGCTGCTAGCAGATGGAGGAAATGAAGCTGATGGTACTTGAGAATCTTATTTTATTTTCTAGGGTTTATGGAGAAACCTGGGACTTTCAGCAGCTCTATCACTCCCGGGAGCTACCCTCCAGATGGTGTAGGCAGTTCAATGAGTTTCTGATTTTTGCGACCAAGAACATGTGGCAAATCAAGTTGATAAAGTACCCTTGCTTTAGTGAGTGATGTTTTAAACAAATGCTTTATACTTAAACCCTCAATTTGAGAAATTTTTACCATTGAGCATTGTTCTCAGATCTCCAGCAAGTTTAACTACATTAGTCAGATGATGAAGATGATCTTGAGTCTCATCTTCAGTCTTGTTTGGAAAAAGAGTGTAGATTCTCTCCCTTCATAGCTGCTGAAATTGACACCAGAGAGAGGATTTGGTGATGACCAAGATAGAGTACAGTAACATCAAGACTAACACTCACGGCCACGTGTACAGTTATGGCATAATGCCTGCCTGGAAAAATAAGGCCCTGAGTTTGATTCTCAATATAAAATAAGGGAAGCTATTATGTAGTGAAAAAGTATGTTTCTCAAAAATAATTACAAATTCATGTGGTAATAGTTACTACAGAGGACTGCTAAGAAAAACATGAGAGAGATACTTAATCCTACCTTGCTTGGAATGTGGATAGACAGTACTGGCCTACCAAAATGGCAATGCCTTGCCATAACCTGTGAGGCATGTTGTTTGTAGATTTGCATTATGTGTATCAATTCTGTTAAACTCATATTAAAAAGTATCATCTGAACTAAGCTTATAAAATGGAGAAAGTTTAAAAAAGAAGATAGCATTTCTTAGATAAGCATTTAAAAAAACCAGGAGTAATATGAAATCAGTTAACAAATGTCTCTTTCAGCCCAATCTTCCATCCATGACTACTACACATACCACCAATACTACAGGTCAGTGGTTGTCAAATTGTGTAAAGATGAACACTATTTATATAGAGATGTGACATTAGATAAAAGTTCTGTAAGCAAATAAATTTATGAGTACTTCACACTCTTTTCTTGCTTTGAATGGGAGATTGCTTGTTTTTCTCTAAACAGCCCCTACCAACCTGAAGCTGACTTTCCCTAATTCATATATTATAGTTTTGTCACATTGCTTTGGTTTCCCTCATGTCACCCAACTGATGATGCTAAACCACCCTATCAGTGTCACTTCCATTTAATGTAAAAACTAGTCACATTCTATCTTCTGTGGGATTCTAAGATCATTCAGTTATGAAATATTTTTTAATTACTTTGAACATTTTCTATGGTTATTTAATGACGAAGTGCCTTCTCTCCATATTATCTTATTAAACTCTGGAACTCACATTGAGATATCTTATGCCAAGAAAAGATATGTCGGCTTCTCCGGACATTGCCATATGTGGCTTTATAATCATGTTTATGCAGCACTGCAACATTTCCTGAGAATTTTGTTTTCAGTGTCTATTGTATGTGCTCAATATTCCTGAGATCACAAACATATTTCGTTTTACACTCATCTTTAACAACTTTGTGATGCTGGCATTATTTCTCTTAATATTAATTAAATATGCACCAGTAGTAAATATTTCACATGCCAGAAGCATATGAAGCTGGAAAATGTGCCTGAATTTCATTCAAAGTTTCAAAGTGCAATAAAATGATATCCTGTGAGTTGGTTAGATGTCAGTAGCTAAAAATTTCCAAATGAGGTCTCTTTGTTCTGGATGGAGAGGAGATTTACAAATACAGATAGGATAAGAACAACCCAAGCAAAGACTTCTAATGGTCCCAGTAGAAAGAGGAATAAGCACAAAGACACAGTGAAGGAAGGGTCTATAATCTAGCTCAGCTGGAATCTAACTAAAGGGAGTCAGAGCAGATGATACAAGACAGTTAAGCTTGGGCCACGTTGGTTGGCCCTTAATTTAGTGGCCTGCATTTATTCTCAGTAGACAGCGTGAGTCAGTAAAGTTTTTAAGCTGGTAAATGAGGATGATTTATGAACATAACTATGCTTTAGTGAGAACAGTAAAGAGATATTGTGATGGGAGTATGAAAGATGATTATAGGATGATTACAAAGTGAAGAAACTGAAAGCATGTAACCATTGAAGAGACTGCATGGGGCATGCTGGGATGAGGTACTGAAGAGCCTGAAAGAAGAATGCATTGTGTCCATTAGCATCTCTAAAGAGAACTACAAAGGCCTTGAACCAAAACTGTCACACAATGACTCATTTCATGGTGCATTAAACTATAGAGTACAGAGTCTTTCATGATTAGCACTTGGTCCTTGCAAAGAACACTATGATTATAGTAAACTAACTTATTTAGTTACATTATATTTCAATTATTACATGATAAACATTCAAATGAATGTATGCCCCATTCTTTTATCCTATTATAAACTTGTGGATTAAGGAAAAGGACATGTTATTCCATATGAGAAAAAAAATAAAACTGTACAGTCAGTCCTTGATTTATGAGCATTCAAGTTGTGAATTTTCACAGATACTAAGAGATCTTGCATTACAAATGTTCCTACATATGATCAAATTGCAGAAGTAGGTTATGTGTCTCCCGAACCTTGTCATAATATGCTGCTGTGTGTTTACTATACATGCGGTAATGTATGGTAGTACAATGCTCAACCGGAGTTCAGGATGTCTGGAAGCAAAAGGAAAAGCAGTGATGGTGTGGAGGAGGCTGGTGGTAAGTGCAAAGCAATAACCATGGGAACAAAAGGGAAAATAGTTGAAATGTGGACTGTAGCAAAAAGATGGTAAACATTACTCATTCTTAAAATATGAGTCATTCAACTAGTGGGACAGTTGTAGAGGACAAAAACAAGATCATGGTGCCAACGAAGTCAACAATAATAACTATGTAGTTGTGTCAAAGGTATATGAGACTTACTTGTTAGGATTATGAACAAATTTGATTTATTAAAATTCTCTGAGAAGGAGAGAATGTGTTTGTAAGTCAGAGACTTAGTGTATAACACTGGTTGATTTCTGTCTCGGGGAGGTTCCTAAGGATAAGAATGATTTGTCAGCAGACTGTGGAATTTAGGTGGTAGACATTAGGGATATCAGAGATGTGTAGAGTAGGATAGACTTAGTTCCTAGGGTTGAGGCCAGAGGTCTGGTAGTTACTTAGTACCATCAATACTCCAAATATAGGAAGGTGATTAAATGATGAATGACTTTAGCTTAATTTATTAATGCATTTGTATCCACAGTTCTTGTTCCTGTGTGTGAATGCTAACATTTTTCTAAGTATGGTGGCAGAAATAATTTTACTTACACCACCCAGAAAAGAATCTCTGCTGAATAGATAGTTAAGACTTGGACAAAAGAATAGTATACAAAGAGAAAAGAAAAAAGAAAGAAAGAAAAAAAGAAACCAAAGGCCTGAAAGGAAATTGGTAAGCCAGAATTGGTTTAACATTTAATTTCATAGAATTTTTAAGGGAAAAAGATACTAAATAATGACATATATGGTAATATCTATTTTATTAATGCCTGAACATAAAAAATTTATACTTTCTACTTTCGCCCCAATATAATACTTTTAGTCCTCCTAATTCAAGTGGATCTTATTATCTCTTTTAGACAAGAACAAAGATAATTAAGTACAGTTAGTTATTAATAACAGGAGATACCTGAAACAGGTGACATCTTAGAACATCACGTTAAAAAGAATTATTTTAAAACGGAAAAGGCAGGACTCCAGTTTAGCTGTGCTTACGTGTAAAGCCTAATTGCCACGCTGAATTCAGCTCAGTATTTGTAAACTGGCTTGAACACCTTTCTTCCATTTCACCTGAAAGGAATGGTGTCAGATAGTAGAAAGTAAGCATGGGCAGTTCGACTTGTGTACTAAATTTTATTGAGAATATTCTTTTTCACAGCCTACAAAAATCACCACATCTAAAATTATTTTTAGGTTGAAATCTGAACTCATCATTCTTGTGAAGGCTTCATTCATTCATTCATTCATTCATTCATTCAGTTTACTATCTGCAGGCATTGTGATAGACAATAGGATACAACCATGGATCCTCTAGGAGCATCCTGGAGTGTACCAGTAGAGGATACACTCAAACAAGCCATTATCTGTTGACTACAGTGATAGGTGACTAACGAAAGTGATCCCAAAAAATGACTTGAAGGATGCAGGCAAAGAAGGGGCAGGACAGGAACTCATATTTGTTAGAAGATCAACTATTTAAAGTCTAGGTGTTTCATGTATGTATATTACTTAATTCTAACAAGAACTCTATGAAATACACATATGATAACATTTTACCGATTAAAGAGTACAGACTGAGATGTTCAGCTTGTACTTGTCCCACGGTAAAATTGAGTTACAGTTCTTGACCCCAAAGTTCTTTTTTCCTTCCATTGCATCTAGGTGCTTCCTGTGACAATGATCTTGTGGTTTCAGTTTGCAGTCTTGGCACAGAAAGGTGCCAGAAAAAAATCACTTAATCATGTTCAAGCTAAATTGTATAAAACATATTTCTACCCATAGTTATCACACATTAAATGAAATTTAAATTAATTTAGTCCAGCAAATACTACAGGTAGATAATTTATTTTATATGTGTCTTGGTCCCTCCCTCCAAAACATAGGGATATTAGTGTATATACCTCTTCAGTGTCCTAAATGAGATTATCTGTATTTATATAACATGCATAACAATTCAGAGTAAGTGTTCAGTAAATGTTAGTAATTATTATTATTAATATTTGTGTCTTGTTGGCATTTATCTTTTCAAGCTGACAAATGAGAAAGTATTTTAACTGAAAGCTGCTATGCATCATCAGTGGGGCTTCAGTCTGGATAAATGATAGTTTTTAAGCTTGTGTTTATTCTCTTTTCAAACCTGATTATTGGGTGTTTTAGTGGTGTTTCAGGAAAGACTCACAAACACAATTAAATTGAATACAAAGTGCTAATAGATGCAAAAATCTATGAATATTCTGATTCTTAAAAGTCATTTATGGTAAGTTAAACATTATGTATTGGATTTGGAAAATCTATCTCTATATTGCCAAATGTAAACTCCAAAACAGACTTGGTACTGTGCCTGCCTAATATTAGGATTATAAGACAGTGTGAAAGAAGAGGAAGGGATAACGAACTTAAGTTTTCTTCACCACATTTGACAGAAAAAGTGAGGTGACAAGAGAATGCACATATGCCATTTAAATTAAAACCACTACATTAATTCATAGCTGTAAATGAAACAAAACAGTTTGTACACTGCTCATTTATAATTGTGGAGATTTGGGAAAAAAAAAAAAAAGCAATAGGCAACAGTTTAGGTGACCTGATTCCTGATGCCATCAACAAACATTTATGGGGCGGGATAGGTTAAAAGCAGAGAATCTTGGCTGGAGTCTGACTCTGCCATCTGACTGTGCTGGAATTTGCAGACATCCTATAAATAGTGGTTGACTGTGTAATCATGAGGAAGTCATTTAACCTCTGTTATCTTACCTTGGTTTTCATGAGGATTAACTCATATAACATTGCCAAAGTACTTACAGGCTTCCTGGTTTATACTTAGCTCTTCATATATACTACCTGTTTTTGGAAATATATTTTGGAGATCCTTTACCACACTGGAAGCCAGGACCACAAATATAATTAGATACAACACTAACACAGATGATAAGCAATATGGTTAAAGTGGTTAGTGTTAAGTGAAGTGGGTAAAAGAGCGAGGGAAAACCGAAAACACACTTCACAGTGCTGAGAGAAGCTAATAAATATTTCTAGAAATCGAGACGTGTGCTGCAGGCAGCAAGTGCTAGAGAGGAGGTGCATTCTAACATATGTCCCTGTGAGGTGCAGTAGCCTGTTTGATGCCAGGAGAGTCGCTTTTCTTCTCTTTACTAAAATCCCTGGTGTGTGAAAAGGGCAGGTTGAATTAGCCATGTCAAGTCTCCTCCTGCCTCAATATTTGGTGATTCTCTGTAACTCTAAGTGAGGCTTTTTATGGCTGAAATAGGATACTGAAGGCTGCCTGGGCGATGGAAAAAATATCTCTTGGCAGAGGAGGGGAGAAGGCAGAAGTCATAAGTCCCAGAAGCTGTAGAAAAAGGGATAAAACAGGTTCAAATGACAGGGATTGAGGTAAAGATACAGTGGAGCTGAGGAAGCCTTGTCCCAAGGACGGTGCAGATGACTGTGAACTTTTCTTCTTCATACTCCATTTCTTCACACTGACAGTGTAACTTTGTCCCGTGTTAAAGTCTGACAGTGTGGCTTGATCCGTTCTTCCTGTACTTGTTAGACTTCCTGTACTTGTACTTCTAGACAATAAGGCATCATTAAGACCTGTCCTCTGTGCCTTGCACACTGCTTATACTTTCCTTCCACAGAGAAAGCATGGCAGAACACAAAACCATGCTGACTTGTATGCTGGTGACTTTGATTTGGTCTTTTCAAAAAGCTGATCATGAACTGCAAGAAGACAGAAAGGAGAAGAAAAATGGAAAATATCAAAGCTTTGAGTATAAGAATTTTAAACCAGGTTCCGACATTTATTATCCCAGAGACCTATGTACATCATTCTGCAAATTTCATTTTTCTCATCTGTCAAAAAAAGGCATTAATTCTTGCTTCAAAATTATTGTGAAAATTAAGTAAAATGCCACATTCTGAGAGTCATGTCTGAGACATAGAACTCGATTATGAGGGGGTTGCAATAGAACCTCAAGATTGCAGTGGGCTGTGGTAGTTCTCCAGGGAAATGGAGGAGGCAGTGATATTAGGGAAGGAGAGAAGTGTTTGGCAGACAGAGGTGTAAGTGACCACTGTATTAACACTGACAGATATAACTGAAGTAAACTGAAAGCTGTCAAATGCTTGGCACTAATGTGCTCAATACTAAGTGCTGAATCTTCTTAGGGAATGTCTAAACCTCTATTCTATGTGAGAATTCTTATATTGATGTTATTATCCAGCAGGCCATCTGCTTTAATTAAAATTTTACACAGCTGAGGAATTTAGTGCCCTAAACTTGGAACTTCTGGCACATTTGGTGTTTCGTTTGAGGATGATGTTTTTGCAAGGATTATGGGAGAATGAATTCTTTGCCAGCTTCTAACTAGGCAGTCAGCTGTGAAGGTTTTCTAGTAAGATGTTTTTTTTATTCTGGCACAAATGGCCAAGGATTAAATAATTTTCCACTAAATATATGTTTTAAAGAGTTAATTAAAAAACTGACAAGCATTTGGGATCTCAGATGGTTAGATTTATATGACATTCTCTATTGAAAGTTAAGAATCACCACAGCTGAGTGTCACTCTATCAAATTATATTTCAAGAAACTCCACAATAGAAGCAAAAGGGACATAGTCCTTAAAAAATTTCTTAGTTGTATGAATGGGTCTCTGAACTAGATGCATATTTCCAATAATGAGAATCTTCAAAAATATGGCCATCTTAAGGCAACAAGCCAAACCAGTTAGAGTATGTCTGGGAGGAGGTAATGCACTTTTAAAAGCCCTTCAGTGATACAAATATGCAGCCAGGATTGAGAGCCACTGATGCAAAAGTAAATATATTTTAATGTCTGAGAGACATTGTAATGTAGTATTCAGGGAGCGGGGTAAGAACTTGAGTTCATGTCCTGTTGTTAAATGAAAGATTGTCCAAGATCATGGTCTGCTCTACGTAAGTTACATAACTTTATGGTGGCTTCATTACCTTTCAGATGTGGTTGTTGGCTTCCTAATAGATTTTTATAAGACTGGTTGTAAACATTATTTTATAAATAAAGCACTTGCTTATTGGTAGTAGTTACTACCATTTGTTTTAGTAAAATACTTTGTTAGGAATTTTTAGCTTTTTCCTCAGATTTACTTGTTGATATAAATGAAAAGATTCTTACCAGCAGCACAAAAGCGAGTACACATCAACCTAAAGCAGTCAGCACAACGGACCATCTGATCATATCGAAGATACATAAATAAAGCACAGTCAGATCCAGTGGTGTATGTGACTTGGAAGTTATACAATGCGTAAATTTCATTTCTAGCATAAGATGCTTCTGGATATGTTGTTACTACACTCTATAATAAATACAAATAGACATTCCCAGGCAATAAGTTCCACTTGAGCCAGCAGCTCTGTTTCAATGCCATCACTCAGAAAATGTGAGCCTGGCAGTGTTTACCTGGATGCCAAGTGGCCAAATCAATTACACTGCAATCTATTTGTCCAAAGGATCTGAACCAGCATTTAATCAAGAAGGGTTTGATTATCCATGTTGGCCTTGGGGCAGAAAAAGAGAAGTTGCTCTATGTTGCTGTTCCTTCTCCCTTCTTAGACCTGTTGGCTGTGATTTCAATGGTGTACAGAGAGTGATAAAATATATTTGGAAGTGTATAACTATGCAGATCAACCTTTCCTGAGATCTTGATTGCAGGCTCCTGCCCTTCCATGCTGGAACTGAGTGCCCTGTCCATTCTGTTCCCTTATTTATTTTAAAACTATTTTAGAGGAGTTGAAATGAGCATCCAACTTCAAGCTTATGTGTTCAACACAACACAGTTCCCTTGCCTTTTTATATATTATCGATATGTTTCGTACGTTTCTCCCCAGACTCACACCTCTTCCCGTCACTAATTAATGTGTGACTAACCATGTAATTTTTTTCAATTTCAGTTTCCTCAGCTGAAAAATGATGGACTAGAATATACATCCTAATATATACATTGGTAATTAAATGAAGTATTGAAGAATATATAGATAACATTTATTAAATGTATACATGACTCTATTCCCGTCACTATTTTACATGTTCTAAGTATTAACACATATTAGCTTACCTTTACAGGTAGACTTTTTTTCTCCCTTTATGAATGAGAAAACTGAGGCATGGAGTAGTTAAAACAACTTTCACAGTTTACACATTCATGAACACATTTGTGCCTGAAACACTATTCCCTTTCCATTGTTATATTTGCATGGGCAAATATAGTGGTAAACAATAGCATTTTCTCCTCAACTTCCTCTTAAGATTTCTGATTGAAAATAGTGTACTGTAGCAAATAGCATCTGGGTCTACATGATAAATATTTACTAAATGCTTGCTCATAGACTAATTGTTAGCACACTGTGTTAGATGTCTGAATAGACCTACCTAGTAATGGACTGCACTGTTCCTAGCACTGTTCTTTGACACTTCACCTTCTGAATCACCTCAGTGACCTTCTCTTGACCAACTTCAATATTCAAGACCGTAGTGCATGTCATCAGATGTTCTTTCCAGATTTTTCTGTTTATACAAACCTTGATTATGTCAGCTCAGTCAAGAATGGGACTTAGTTCATCATCCTTATCTCTGGCTGTCTAGCACTAAGCAGAAATATAAATGATGTTAATGGAGAGAATGAAAGTGGCTCAGTCACTGTAAAGTGCTGCTCTGTAAATACTTTCAGTCTTAACACAGACCGTGCTGCTGTTTGGTTCTGTGGAAACAGAGCCCCATCCTCCATGGCATCCTTGTGACCACCTGTCCTGATTCTAATGCCAAGTTGCTTCTATTTGGTGTGTTAAACTTCTCAAAAAATGTTTTACTGAAATGATCCTGCTGGGCTGATACTAATTGGGCTTAGATTTTAGTTGTTTTTCTCATAATGAGGACAGACTTTCATTGATTTTCCCATACTAACATTTTAAGTACTCATTAGTACATTTTGCCAATTTTCACATCAATGAAAGAAAACCCTTTTTATCTGGCATGTTAATATATGAATTGAAGTTTTGAAAGAAAACTACTGGCGAGTCTAACTTACACTGTATGGAAAGGAGGATCCTTTTTTAATGTGTATAACTTGGTTTTTCTGTCATATGAATGTAATTTTTATACAAAGAATTAAAAATGAGATTTACTTAATATCTACTAGGTCTGACAACAGGGAAATACCTTTTATTTGCTATTGTGTGTGATCTTACAAACAATGTTGAAGAAAGACAGACTTTGATAACAGGATCTGGGTGTGAGCGGCCTTGCAGTCCACTTTCTGTATGACCATGAGGAAGTCTCTATTCCCTCTAAACTTTTAGCTGTAAACATATATGATAGTATCTTACAGTTGATAGTCAGGATAGGATTTTATTGCTTCCTTCCCCAACATAAAAGGAACAATCAAACAGGAATTAAAGTAGCATAATTGCTGTTAGCAGTGAGAAATTTGGAAAGCATCTCTGTGTCCCACAGTTTTCATGCAACAATCTAAGTATGTATCAAAAACAGACAAAAATTAGGAATGTTTCATTTCATATTGGACAATGAGATACTGTAGTAAAATAATTTTTTAAGAAGCATACTTATCAAAGAAGTTCAGCAAATTGTGATAGAAATAATTATACAATTATACAATTATTTTAGTATACTGGCAGTATTCCATGTTTCCACTTTCTAACAGGAAAAGGGAAATTCATATAGGTTAGTTAAGTAAGTAAACAAAACATTTTAAATTGCAATGCTTGCTTCATATTTTCTTCAAATTAAAGTTTGTTTCATTCTTGAAATGAGATTTTTTATCTCACATTTTCCTTTAAAAAATTAGATCCATCTATATTGCCTAATAATACTACAGTAATAAGGAACTTTGAATACCAGTGGTTTTAAAAAAAATTGTAATTTTCATTCATGCTATACATACTATCTTGATCTGGTGGGATATGTGCTTGATCCTGTCTCATAAACCAGGTCAAGAGAATTCCCATCTCTGTGCTTCTCTAATTGCAGGAACAGAGTCAAAAGGACATCAGGAATTGAGCACTGGTTGTTATTGCTTCTATAAGAAAGACAGACACATTACTTCTTATGTTTTGTTGGCCAAAGAAGTTCTCATGACCATGCCTAATTTCAAAGTGGTACAATCCTACCATATCATCCAGAGAGCCAGAAGTACTTTTTAAACTAGTAACAATCTCTGCAAAAGATGTCCTATTAATTATATTTCATATCAAAACCACAAAAGTCATGTGCAGACAGTGAAATTGCAATCTAAGTTAGACCAAAAACTTACGTTTCTTCTCCAGGATAATGCTACAGGACTATCTGAAAATAAGAAAATTACTCTCTTAACAAATTCACTCTACTAACTGAATCAACAAAATGGTATTTTCCTATTTGACAAAATTCATTGAGTGCTTTCCCTTTTGTAAGGGATTAAAAGTTAGAGATTTTTAAAGGAAGAAAGGAGTTAGGGGAAATGAGATACATGGATACTTTATAGAAAATAGTATTTAAAAGAATTGTCAGAAGTGATGCCTCACATATGAGACTGCTTGAAAGTTATTTCAATAAGAATAACAAGAAAAACTTAAAATACTGAATAAGAAAAGCTTCTTTTTCCTCCCTTTAGGAAAATATAAACATCGATGAAGCCTCCAGATGCCTGGTGAAGCACATACTTGCAAATGAATGTGATCTAATGGAGTCTATAGAGCCGGACATTGTGAAGCCCCATCTTGCATCACCTAAGATTGTCAGCTGCTCCAGCTGTGCCAAATCCTAGTAGCATCCTCTGCTGGCACATGATAGAAATAGGCCCTTGACCCTATGAATTGTGCCTCTTATTTTGCCATTTTGGGTAAAGGTCAGATTAGTAAAACGTGGCAAACCAAAGATCTCTGCCTACATTTTTCTTATAAGAAAGAAATAACAAATGCTTTTTTATATCATCAGCACAGTTTTTACAAGCTTTTTAAACATCTAATTTGTTACAAAATTCTGTTGTGTTGCTGAGCAAACTTTTGTAGGGCTAGAGTGAGCCCCGGTATTTGCTCCTTTAAACCAGCAAAAGCCTTAGGACTTAAAGAGAAGAGGGACAGAGCGAACTAGCTGTCAAGTTAAGCATTGATATTTGCCTTGTCCTAGTGTGTCTTTGTGCAGATTTCAATACATTCTCTGCTGGCCTGACAGGTCTATTAAATAGAAATGGTATTTTCCCCAGAGATGACCTCCATTCTTGGCAGACCTAAGAGCTGTCTATGATTTAGCTCTTCAGAGTCGTGTACACAGGCTTCCTGTGCTTTTGTTGTCTTCATTGCCACTTGCTGTGACATGAATGTTGGTTTAACTGAACACAATCTGAAAAGAGCTACCCCCTAGATGTGCCTTTTCTGTTAGCTTTCTCTGAACCAAGCTGTGGGACTCTTCTCTACATGTAATATATATTATATATATTTTCACAAGTGAAAAATAAAACATTAAAAGATGCTGTTTCCCTGTTTCTGAAAATCCTTTAACTTTCTTAGTACTGGGATTATTTTTCACTATAACTATGTAACTGTGCTTCTCAAGATCCATTTTTCAACTTTATTTCAGAAAAGACATGAAAAATTGTGATGAATTTATTGCTTTTACATCTATTCTTTATGTCAGTATTTACACCAAGAAAGTAAATAGTGTCCAGATATCTTGTTGTTGATCAGAGGAACATGCCACAACAATCAGTGTTTTTAAGGAGACAAGGAACGCATATATAGTGATGCCTTTTTTTTTTAACCCAATCACTGAGATACTAATGTGCTGTAAGAGGCTACTATTGACTGATATTTATCATATCTTCCAGGAAGCTTTATGTTTTGCAACAGATGATTTTTAGTGTCCTACTAATACAGTCTTGGCCTCCACTGTTTCTGTAAGCACTGACCATAAATTCCTATTCAAATACCTTAAGGGCATTCTCTGGTTTCTGGAGCAGTTTGCTCATAAAGTAGAGAGGTCAGAATTGCCAGGAAGTTAATGTTAGGAGGGGTCAAATGATCAATACCCCTGACTCCTTTTCCCTGGAAAGGACAATTTGACATTTGCCTTGTGGACTTTCAGAGGTCTGTAGTAAGATGAGTTCTTGGTTCTCAGAGAGTGATGATGGTCCTACAGTGATCATTCTACTAGAGTTGACCTAAATTAATTTACTTTCCTTTCTTCCTTTATCTCCTTACTCATCTACTGATGATTCTCAAGTTCATCTTCCAAATAAGCTGTGTTCATTCAAATCCTATCTCAGGGTCTTGTTATAAGAGAACTCAATATGAGTTAGGACAAGTCTCGTCCTAGGAAATTGATCATCATTGGACAGGTTGAAGACACAAGGAAATACTATTGCTCTTGAGTTTGAAAGACATATTATTGTGAATTTAGTTACCTGCTATAGAAACCCTAAAGAAATAGGAACATTTCAAGACATAAGTATGGGCAGTGTGCAGGATAAGAGCCCAAAGCAAACAGCAATAAAAGCAATAATAGACAAATGGCATTATATCTGCACAACAAAAGAAACAATCAAGAAAGTGAAAAGAAAACATGCAGAATGGGGGAAATATTTGCAAACTATTCATTTGACAAGAGACTAAAATCCAGAATCATTAATAAAGTCAGTAAAGCCTCAACAAGATGCAATAAAACAGTTACAATGGGGCAAATGATATGAATAAATGTCTTAAAAGAATGAATACAAATGGGCAACAAACATATGAAAAAGTGCTCAACAGGCCAGGGAGCACTGGTGCACTGCTCAGGACTTGATAAAGCCCTGCCCAGCAACCCCAAGCAACCAGGAAGCCTCAATGTGCTGGGTGGCACCTGGTGAAGGCCTACCCAGCATACTCCACCTAGCTGGGCCATCTCCATGCATGCTGGGGACCTTGAAAGGCTCTGCCCAGCAAACCCAAGTATCCAAGGAGCGTTGGTGTGCCTGCTGCAGGCCTACCCAGTATACTCCACCTAACTGGGGCTGCTTGGTGGGGATCTGGTAGAGCCCTACCTAAGGACCAAAGCAGATGAGGGGGTTTGGTGCACCACATAAGGCCTGCTGATCTGCCCAGCATACCCCAGCCTTCAGGGGAACCTCCATGAGTCACTTGGGACCTGGTAGGGCCTGCCTAATGACCCACACTCTGCTGGAGAAACTCTTCCTCCTCAACTCAGGAAGCAACTGAGACTTTACATTCAGCTTCCCCAAAGAAATACAGGAAAATGACAAAACTAAAGAGCAAAATGCAACCCCAAACCTCTAGCTCATCCCCTAAAAGTTTAGGAGACATAGCCATAGAAGAAAGTATAAGTCACACACCCAAAATTTCTGAAATGATAGCAATAGGAGTAAAGAAACAACTCCGTGAAGCTGTACAGGAACTCAGATAAGAAATTATCTCTCAGGTAAAATAAGAAATGATAAGCATAATGAAAGAAATACTGAATACATCTAAAGAAGATATAGTTAAAAAATAGAAGAGCACAAGAAAATGATGGAAGCCTTGAATGAACAATATAAGAAAGAATTAGCATTAAACAGATTCAAAGAGATATCCAGGAAATAAAACATTCCATCAAAAGCTGGCAAAACCACCTGGATAAATTTGAAGATAGACTTTCAGAACTCGACAAAATTGCAACTAGTGAACAGGAAAAGAAAGATCTTTTAAAAATAACAAGAAATCAGGAAACAGTTCCACAGTTACAAGATGATGCAAAGAAAAACAATATAATGTCGATAGGGGACAACACAAATTATATAAAAGGTGACAACACAAATTATATAAAAAGACATTATAGGAGTAATAGCAGAAAATTTCCCAAGCATGGGTAAAGAAACTGACATACAGATAAGTGAAGCATATAGAACTCCAGTTAGCCATAACCAAAATAAATGTATGCCAAGACATATAATGATCAGCACCTCAGAAATTCAACATAAGAACAGAATGTTAAAGCTCTTAAAGAAAGCAGAAAAACAAGCCACTATAACGGAAAGCCCATCAGTATCACAGCAATCAAACAATCAAGAACAGCATGGAGTGAAGTATTTCAAATCCTAAAAGAAAATGATCTCCAAGCCAGATTGATGTACTTGCAAAACTATCCTTCAAAAATCAATGGAGAAATAAGATATTTCCATGACAAAGAACAGTTGAAGAGCTTTATGACTACCAAACCAACCCTACAAAGAAAACTGAAAGATATTCTAGATAGACATAAAAATGACTACGATTTCAAGAATATCAACAGAAAAAAACTACCAAGCAGGACAAACAAGTAAACAGAAGAGAAAGATAACCAATAGCAGAAAGATAACATGACGAAAATAAGCCAATACATATCAGTTATGACCATTAATGTAAATGGCCTCAATTCATCAAATAAAATAGACTGGCAGAATGGATCAAGAAACAGTATCCAACCATATGCTGCATACAATAAACCCATCTAACCCTAAAAGAATTTCATAGACTGAAGAGGCAAAGGATGTAAAACAATACTTCATGCACTGCAACCCCTCCCACGAAAAAATAAAGCAGGTATAGCTATTATGTTTGAAGACAACATGAACTTTAAACAAGGAATGATCGAAAGAGCTAAAGAAGGTCACTACATATTGGTTAGAAGAAAACTTCAAGCGGAAGAGATAAACAATCTTAAACATTTATTCACTAAATATGGGAACACTCAGCTATATAAAACAAATATTAATAGACATGAAAAATCAAATAAGCAATAACACAGTTATAACAGGAGAATTTAACACCTCATTGACACAAAGGGTCAAATCAAACTAGACAGGAAATCAGTAACAGAATTGAATCAAGCATGTGAACAAATAGACATTTACAGAATGTTGCACCCAACAACATCAGAATACACATTTTTCTCAGCTTCACATGGGACATTCTCTAAATGTCCATCTACTAGCCCACAGAACATGCTGTAGTAAATGCAAATAATCAAAATTATTCCTTGCATATATATCTGATCATAGTGCCATGAAACTGGAAATTAATGACAAAAGAAACTACAAAAAATGGATAGATATTGTAGAAACATGAATTACCAAAGCTGGATCAAGAAGATGTAAAACTGCTGAATAATTCAATTTCAGCTAATGAGATTAAAAATATAATGAGAACCTTACCAATAAAGAAAAGCCTAAGTCCTGATGGATTCACAGCTGGATTTTTACAAGAAATTTAGGGAAAACTTAATGCCAACACTCCTCAAACTCTTCAATGAAATTAAAAAGGAAGCAAGTCTTCCTGACTTATTACTGGAAACAAGTGTTACCCTAATACCAAAACCATAGAAAGACCCAGCCAGAAAAGAGAACTACAGGCCAATTTCCCTAATGAACATAGATACAAAAATCCTCAAAAACAGACTGTCAAACTGAATGCAGCAAATCATCAAGAAGATTACATACCATGACCAAGTGAGATTCGTCCCAGGAATGCAGGGATACACAAGTCAATAAAGTAATACACTATATCATTAGAACCAAAACAAAAGTCACATAATAATCTGAATAGATGCAGAAAAAGCTTTTGATAAAGTCCAAAACTCATTCATAATAAAAAACCATAAGGAAAATCAGAATAGATGGTCTTTACCTCAATTTGATTACGTCATCTGTGACAATCCAACAGCCAGCACCATACTAAATGGTCAAAAACTGAAAGCTTTTGCTCCAAAATGAGGAACAAGACAAGGTTGTCCACTGCCACCACTTCCGTTCAATGCATTCTGGAAACATTATTGTCATGGCTTATGTCAGTGTCCCCCAAGCCTCATGCAATTATGCATTTGTGATTGGTTCATTGTCCAGCACTTGGATTTGGTGGTGAGTGCTACACCCACCTGGGGTGGAGCTAGGATCTGATGTAATAGCGAAAAGAAGGTACGTCTCTCTCTTGCCATTTTGTGACTTGCTGTTTGCAGCAACCATGAACTGCAGCCCCACCATGTCACTCTGCTTTGGAGCCAACTGAGTGTGGATTGAAACCTCCAAGAACTGTAACAAATAAACTTTTCCTTCCCTAACTTTGAGCATCAGGTATTTTGTCTAAGCTTTGAAAGATAATAATCTCCAGCCAAGATTGATATATCCTGCACAACCATCCCTGGAAATTGATGGAAAAACAAGGTGTTTCCAGGGTAAAGAGGAACTAGGGGAATATGCAACCACCAATTCAACTCTACAGAGAATACTACAGGATATTCTAAAAAAGAAAAATACAAAGAATCCAGAAATAGTGGCAGAGAGGCCACAATGAATGGAGCAGAAAACAAAATGAAGAAGACAAACTGACAACTAATGACAGAAAAAGAGCTCAACAGAAATGAGGTAGAGAAGACTGAATGATAGGAACAGCTATTTTGGAGAAAATGACATCTTAATAGGTAATACTGATTTAGTATCATCTTGTTTTGAAGTCTCATCAAGCTTT